AAGGCTCTGAGAACACTGAAAAGCATGTTATCCAATTGTGATCACTAGACGTTTGACCAAAAACATCCAGAAAGTGGAAAGTCACATATAGAGTTTCTGATTGGATGATTACTTGCATTGCTAATATGTTTAGTAGCATTCTAGAATTTTCAAGAAACCCAAGGACATCTAAAATACTATAAAAATCCTATATTTTCTGCACATAAAAGAACCTTTGGGGTAAAGTGTTTCTTACATATTTCGCGCCTTTCCTCTCGTGTCCAAGTCTCTGTGTCGATTTAACTTGAGGGTTACTAGAAGAATTCAGGAAACAAATCCAACATTCGATTAGCAAGACTTATCAATAAATAAGTGTATGTTTAGAAGTTTCACGTCAATGTATGTCATTGTCCGGTATTTTATTTATTCAGGAATTATTCAAATTGTTTATTGTTACAAATACTTACCACTTTGGATTTATAACATGGACACATCGAAAAGTTTGTAAAAAACAATCCCTTTTTGAATAGAGTTACGTTTATATTTTCTTAGATTTGATCTTCAAGATTGAAGCATCTATATTAATCTTTTACGTTAGTGTATATTAATTTAACCCTTGAAATAAAAGGTGTAAAGTTCCAGTATCCCTAGTGTTATAACTTGTGAACCTGTGTGCCCTGTATATTGGATAACGCAACGATACCGCAAATCAGAGGGCAGAGAAATTATCGACCGAACCAGTGACGCATAAAACACATGTGAACAGCCTAGAGTCCTGCTCTCTGTCTAGCCCCGCCAGTTAAGTCCAGAACACCAATCTTAGCCTCTGCAATATGAATCATGTATTTCAAATATACTGGATTTATATAGAAACCATACAGACCACATCGTACCATAAAATAGAAAATAACATTTGCACAAGATTTAGCCAAATATGGCTGTGAATGAGAGAGGTAGTAATTAACAGACGGGGTATAACTCCAGAATGGTAAAACGTATAATAATAGTCCATAGGTCAAAATAAAGCTTATATATAATAAGAGCGACATGAATATGAACAGTTTAGTTATTTAACAATTATACGATAATAATATACGTATAGTATTGGTCCATAAATGGATTCCAACAGTTACCACTCATTATTCTTATCGGGATATAACACCTAGGATTCAATTTAGTCCAGTTGATAAGGCTTGAGAATAGAATAATATGGGAAATTTGAAATCCAATGTTGCTACAATCAAAAAGTAATAATAATAATCCGGTTTATTTACAACTGCGGAACATCTGGAACTCAAAGCAACTGTCAACCATCACCAAGGTCAGGATTTTCAATACAAATGTCAAGACAGTTCTACTGTGTGGGGCAGAAACCTGGAGAACCACGAAAGCCATCATTCAGAAAATACAGGTGTTTATTAACAGTTGTCTACACAAAATACTTCGGATCCGTTGGCCAGACACTATTAGCAACAACATACTGTGGGAGAGAACAAACCAGATCCCAGCGGAGGAAGAAACGCTGGAAGTGGATACGACACACATTGAGGAAAGCACCCAACCGCATCACAAGACAAGCCTTCACATGGAATCCTCAAGGCCAATGGAGGAGAAGAGGAAGACCAAAGAACACATTACTCCGGGAAATGGAGATAGACATGAGAAAAATGAACATGATTTGGATGGAACTAGAAAAGAAGGCCCAGGACAGAGTGGGTTGGAGAATACTGGTCGGTGGCCTATGCTCCATTAGGAGTAACAAGCGTAAGTAAGTAAACATATAACTTACCTTAAGAATTATCTTCATACAATATTTGAGTACTTTAAACTGTATATTAAATTAATCCCGTCATAGAAAATATAATTACTCATGTGATTTACATACCTGAAATAATTTCTAGTGTTTTAGATATTACATAATCATTAAATATCAGAATATAATAAAGATACATGGATAAATGAATCATTATTCTTAAGACATGTTAGGTTATTTATATACACACATAAACATTGGTACAAGGAGGCATCAAATACATATGCACCACATTAATCATTCGATCTATGTGAGGGATGGGATATTGCCTGGGTGCCCAAACTGAAACAGGTTGTTTTCTTAGGAGCTACACCTGGAGCCTTCGACCTGAACGTCTGATCCACAGGGCAGTAGAGCAACATTAGGAAATGCAGTCCCATGGTAGCCGGTGACCAATAATTGGTCCATACGCCAATTGTTCCCTCAGCGTCCTGGAGTTCATGTGCACCATCGGCTTGGACTGAGGGTTTTCCCACTACCCTAGGTGAACTCTCCATGTTCACCAACACGGTTGAAGAGCCGGACATTCGCTTTTCGTCCTCTCAATTTCATCAACAACACTCATATAGTGAGTAGGACATCTCTGGTAGTGGTTGTATGCACTTGGCCATGTGAGAGCATTTCGAGAGGGAGAGCGGATACTCCCCATTCTCGGCCGTACCAGAGTATTCAGGGGCGATATGTTCAGTGATATATGATGGAATCATTCACTCATGTGAAAGTTTATTCCCAAAATAGTATTTCATACAATTTACATTAGAAACAATGATCAGATGAAGTACAAAATGATTGCGATATGTCTCTTTAATTATTTTATTTGATTAACGAATTTGTTGAATCAAAACTAAAGTAAATAATTCCTTTGATTAATGATATTCACTTCATATTTAGTTGTATATTGCATCATTCAGTTTTTATGATTTCTAAAAGATTAATATTATAATTAAGTGGTAATACAAATTTTATTAAAGGTTAGTTTCGTTGTAAAGCCACTGGAAATCTAATTTTGAAGGTATTCACTAAGTTTTTTTTTATTATTTCAGCTTAATTTTATTTCTTACTGAGAATATTAAACAACAAGATATTAATTCATCTAATTACAAATGTCAGTCCACTTTGAAAGTGGATGGAAATGCTACAATCGATGTCAGATTGTTATTACTATAATTAATATATTGAATCGATGAGACTCTAATTGATGGACGACCTTTAAGTCACTCTAAAGTGTCTACCTACTTACTAAAGCTAAATGAGGGTTTTATCAAAAAGTCTGAAGAATAAGGAATTCCATTTACACTTGATGGTTAAGGTTCGAAATTAGATTTATGGTTTTCATCACGAACGGATATCAGCTATAATGCCAAAATTCTATTTAGCCAAAATAGGTGAATAAATTTCGTGCCAAAATCGAAAACTTGTTATCGTAAATCTGATTGGTTCATTCATAAATTACACTCTTACCTATGGAATCAGATTAATTTAATAGTTCAGAGGAATGTGTCCTATGTAAATGTTAACCATTGAAATTTAATTCGAATGGATTGGTGTACATTCAGTCAAACTATTATAGTAATGACATTTTATCAGTTGACAATTGAACAATCGAATATAGGAATAAAAATTTGAAAAAAAATAATCAATGATTCTTCATACTTAATGGTGAAGTAACATAAATAATTGATCCGTTTCAATTAAATCTTCAATACGAACGTCAAGACAGTTCTACTGTATGGAGTGGAAACTTGTAGAACTACAACAACCACAATCAAGAAAGTACAAGTATTTATAAATAGCTGTCTACGCAAGATACTCAACATCCATTGGCCGGATACCATCAACAATAGCCTTCTGTGGGAGAGAACAAACCAACTTCCAGCTGAAGAAGAAATTAGGAAAAAACGATGGAAATGGATAGGACATACATTCCGCAAATCGTCAAACTGCATCACGAGGCAAGCCCTAACTTGGAATCCTGAAGGGAAGCGAAAAAGAGGAAGGCCAAAGAACACATTGCGTCGGATAATAGAAGCAGATATGAAAACGATGAATTACAAATGGAAGGAGCTGGAAAGGATTGCCCACGACAGGGTTGGATGGAGAATGCTGGTGAGCGGCCTATGCTCCTTCACGAGGAGTAACAGGCGTAAGTAAGTAACGTTTTCCAACAAAAATTAAATGAGCAATTGGTGATCTTATAGACTTATATTGTTTTCTTTTTAATATTTTAAACTAATTCAGCAACTTTTACTCCAAATCATAACTTCATTGAGGTAACAATGTACGAGTTGTGGAGATTATTAAGTTTTTGATTGAGATCATGAAGCGATTGGTGTTAGACCACCATTGAAAACCTGGAAGCACTAGATGGACGTTTCGTCCTATTGTGGAACTCCTCAGCAGTGCGCATCCATGATCTTTCCTCGTGAGATTCGAACGCAAGGTCTTCAGTCCCGCACGCGAACTCTTAATCTCTAGACCACTCAGCCGGCTATCATCCAACGGTGTTAATTTCTAAGCTCAACCAATCCACGAAATCGCGCAATCATCTTCCATTTCAATGAGGTAGATATCTGTCTCTACCGGACACCGATATTTTTAATAACCAACAACGGAAGATTCAATTTATTGACAAAAAATGTTTGTTTTTGTGGATCTAACAACTAAGCTTCACATATGAAACGATAACTATTGGATAACCTTACCCAGAATGTTAGTATGAAAGTATTCATAAGCTAACCAAAGGAACATTGTTGAATCCAAACTTCTGTCATCGTTCTTAGTCAGTGGTCTTGAGTGGTGTTAGGAGTATGAGGGCAGTTATCACCTCTCGGTTGACCACAGTGTGAAAGGGTTCTTCTGGAAATTGGATTAGAGGTGGTCTCAGTGACCTGAGAGCGTGACCGCAATGCCCAGGGGATAACTGCTTGAGGTCGGTCACAAACGACCTTTTTGTGAGTAATTTTCGTGTTATTTCCGTACTTGTTGAGACCTTACCGCCGGAGACGGATATCCGTGGGGTAAGGCGAGGTGTGCATTTTTAGGGTCGACTTTTTCTAACCCCACCCCTCCTTGTGGGAAGGCAGCATCGCTGCCATGCTGGTTGTCTGAAGGAAACACCTTACTGCTGTCCTACCTCTGTACAGTCAGCAGTACAACTTCGCCTTCGGTTTGCTGCTTTTAGTCTTACCGCTCTTCAACCGACCTGTCTGGCATGGTATGACCTTGAGGAACGACTGTTTTAGCCAGTATAGGTCGGTTGACTCATCACGATAGGCAAGCCCGACCACCACGTCTAGGTGACAACAACGGTCGGGATCATCATTCTAGGTTATCATCTATGTAGATCACGGCACAAAAATGTGACAAAACTAAAGTTTTTAAATCATGATAGCTCAAAAAGATAAAATGACAATGAGAAAGACTAAGGATTCAGAATATGGTTAAAAGAGGTGAAGTGGATGATAAGTATGTATGAATGAATACTCTAATTCAACATTTAAAGGAAGTTAAAAAAAGTTAATGTAACTACGATAAGTGACGTAGACATGAATAATTAATCCAAAGAATAAAACTCAAGTCAGATCAACAAAATTTATTGCACAATATACATATGCATTGTATTATCATGATTATTAGCAGTAATAGTATTAATATAAATAAAAGCGTATTTCAATAAAGCGGATAATACATAGGATTTATGAGTTTTCACAATGCAACAGATACACACACACACACACACAAAACAATCTACCATAACCAGCACACAGAAACGGAACCGTTCACACATAATAATCAAATTATCTAGAAATAAATAATAGTTTTATTGAAGGCACATGATAAACATTTTTATTAAAATAAATCAATATTAAGATCTATTATATTTTGTATATTATATCATAATATAAGAGAATGATAATATAAATAACTTAATGAAGAGATCATCTCATAGAAACAAAGAAAAGAAAAGAGAACAAAAAGATAATTGACTATCATTGAAAGACATCATCAATTAAAATACTGGTTGTACATAAAGTAAACAAAAACGTACAAATAAACGATAACATAAAAATATGTACTCTTCTTCTTCTTCTTTTACTTGTTGTCGTTCATCACCCGCTTCAATGTCATTTTTTTTTGGCGAAAAAGAAAAAAAAACAAACACATCCATGAAGAATTGTTCATAGACTAATGTACTCAGTCTTCAACACTTCATAATCTTTTAAAAGCAAAAACAACAAAGTCATCTGTCAAGACAAATTCAATTAGTCCATTGCTTTAGCAAGAGGTAGTAAACATTAGAAATAGAATATTTCAATAAAAACAAATTTGAATTCTATATGCAAATCATATTGACATGAAAACAAACAAACAAATAAACGAAAAATGATAAACAGTTTTGTAATACTACTTATATTGAATAATCATCAAAATTTGTGTGTATATCACTATCATTATTCTTTAATACAATGGAATTATAATGTAACATTGACAATAGAGATAATTTCATTAAAATATAAACTGTCGATCGTCTCATTTACTGATCAACAACAATATTGATTTCTAATATGAACTTATTTCAAACAAGATCAATCCACCATTAGAATGAATTGAGTTTAAAGCACATATTGAACAAGTCGAAAGTATATCATTGACAAGAGTGGGAATAGATAGGAATAATACATGCTAATTATTCTGGATCACCAGTATCATTTTCTATTTGTTGTGTAAATTGATTACGAAGTTTAGCAATTTTTGATTTGGGCAATGAACCATGTGAACGAAACATTGACTAAATATCAAAAAAAAAAAGAAAAGAAAAAGAAAAAGAAAAAAGAGGACTCGTTCTGATCTAAACATGGTTCCCATTATCTGGAATGAATATTCATGATTGATCTGATCAGAATTTTTATAAATAAGATTGAAATCAAGTGTTATTAATTGCTAATCTTGAATAACTTATTCATATAGAATGACATAAAATGATATATGATTCTAATATTTCAATAGTTGACATCATTGAGTCAATTGAAGCTAAACGATTATGGAAAACCTGGAAGTACTGAATGGCCATTTCGTCCAATTCTTATAATATAAATGTTAGTTAAGATAGATTCATAGATGAAACACTAATAAAAAAAAAAACAGAACAGACTACTAAAGTTATTCAAATAATTCTAGTGAGAGGCTTTGACCAGTGGAGCTAATTCGTGTTGGATAGAGACAGATATCTACCTCAGTACAATGGAAGATCGTCACGCATTTTTGTAGATTGGTTGAGGTTAGACATTAACACAGTTGGATGTCAGCCGGCTCAGGGGTTTACAGATGAGGCGTTCGCAAGCGAAACTGATAGGTCCTGAGTTCGAATCTCACGAGGAGAGATCATGGATGCACACTGCTTAGGAATCCCATACTAGGATGAAACGGCCATTTAGTGCTTTCCAGTTCTCCATGGTGATCTAGCTTCAATTGACTTATGAATTCAATTATTATATCGGTACACTTTTATTTCTTATTAACACTTAATATGTTAGGAAATAAATGGTCAATCTATACATGGAATAGATTTCTATTATGTCTTTATAAACATTATGTTAATTATAATGAATAAGATTTGCCAAACGAGTTTTCCCTAAGTTAAATAATCTATGGAATCTTTAAAAAAATGTGTCCCTGGATCTTTATAACTCTTAATGTGGAAGGTAAGTAGTATATAAAACTCCACGTGTTAACACGTCTATAAATGATTAATTCAGAGATTCAACTTTCAACTATACGATGTATTGAGTTATGATATCAATGTTGTATATTGAATATCGAAAACAAAAAGATGGATTAATTATGCAGCAGTTTACTTTCTACTTAATCAACTAGTGAGTTGATTGATGAAGCTATAAATCACTGAGTGATTGAATTTGAATTGGTATTACGCAAACATAATCATAGTTTATCTCGATAGGTAGGCGAAAATGAGTTAACCAAATATAGTAGATGACGAAATCAAGATGTGTTATCGGAACAAAAAGTTAGTAACCATCCGTTTCAGCTAAGTAGAGGAGTTTTGGTCTTCTTGATTATATTCATTGTAATACTCAATATCAATAATTATGAAAGTTGGGTGACATGGAGGATAGTCAATATCAGTGGCACAGTTCAATTCATTGTCTAAACTACTCTGAACATTGTCTCACAAATTTCACACTTTCATCGCATTTTTCTAGACGAATTTTTATATGGTAAATCGATAAGTTACGAAGGATACTGATGAATTCACAGTAAAAGGGAGAATTTGGGGGAGCGCACTAGCAGATTTAGCCGGTTGAGGTACAGAGGGGCAAGGATTAGGTTAGGTAATAGAATAGTACCAGCAATAATACTGCTTTTTCCGATTTCGGGGAAATCAGGATAATGGAATACCAAATAAACAATGCTGAAGCGCTTGAGGACAGAGATTATTTAGTGGCGAAGTTATGTGACGATTTTTGATGAATGACCACGAAACAAACCCATTATGAAAGGAACCGATTTGTAATCAATATTCTGCGTATTTTACAATCATGCCTTCAGATTTGTACGAAAATACGTTAATATGTAACTGAATAGTATAGAAATTTAGAAGAAAAAAAAACAGTTAAGGAAGACGTGAACCAGTTGCTGACATAGTAAAACATCAACTGAGTTGTGATTAAAACAAAACTCCCAATTAATCAATGAAATTATTTGTAGGTGATATAATCAACATCTGTCTGTAAATTGTTTGGGAATTTGTCTCTTAAAACCAACGCATGAAAGAGTTGCGCTACAAAATTTTCGTACTACGGCCGCTATAACAATAAATATGAGGTAGTTTCTGTTCATCCTTTCCAGTTGTTATTCATCCTTATTATTATAAGGATGAATAACAACTGGAAAGGATGGCCAGGGTTGGATGGAGAATGCTGGTGAGCCACCTATGCTCCTTTACGAGGAGTAACAGGCGTAAGTAAGTTGATGTTAACCACTTTTGAAGTAAGAAGAAAGCAACTGAAAAGTCAAAAAAGTTTATTCTTATAATCGTCTATTTAAACTTTAACACAACTGTTTTCATACGACAAGTGGATGTATGTAGACAACGTCAGCTTTATCATAATCATAAACTGTTTATAGAAATTATATACTGGAGGCACATGGTGACAAGTTCATGTGGAAACTAAGGGAAATTAATTATATTACATGAATGATTATGTTGATTTATAGGATGACCACTATGTAATGTTCATCAACAGAGTATTAAATCTGAAATGTTAATTTAGTGATACCCTTTGTGATCTGTTAGAAATAGTCGAAACGTTAGTGTATCTGGGTAATTTGGTTGTGGCCTCACTGATAGGATCAATCTACGTATGGTGAAAACCAGAGTGGCTTATCCCAATCTGGACTATATTTGGCACCGTCAACGATGTTTGTCTGACTATAAAAGGTAGGGTCTACAACGCTTCGGTGAGGGCGATTCCACTATAATATGAAGAAATGTGGCCTCTCAGGGTCTCTGTGTGTTTGACAAATGTTGTCGCCAAACGATTGCTGACATCCAGTGGTAACACTGTGTTAGTAAAACTGACGTTTGGCAGTATGTGTTTAGGATCATTGATGATGGCTATCACCATACTAAAACATTGACTTTTATGGCTTGGACGTGGGTTGCGAATGTCATCTCAGCTAATTCTATATTGCAAGAGGTTGAAAAAGTGGAGATGTCGTCAGTTTATGTCATGATATCGTGGCATGAAAGAAGGCTGTACAGGACTGTCTAATTTGAGTTCTAGAGATGCTGGAACTCAGTGGATCAACAAGTTATTAAACAGTGCTTAGAATAGGAACGAATGGCGATTTGGTTGTAATGTTCCTCAGTATCATTGACAAAATATTAAGGAACTAGCCTTACTGAAAATAAATTTGTTTTTATTTTAATTGAACTGCTCTTATTAATATGATTCTTTTCCCACTATTTTTATTCATTTATCTGTTCTTGATGATACTCCTTCTTTTACTCCTTCATGATTCTTTTATTTTTAATTTGTGTGGTGCATATTTCTTTTAGTGCCCAGTTTTATCAAATTTTGTATGTACTAAATAAATAATAAACAAACTTATTGATTAAAACTACTCAACTATTAAATATTACGTTGTCAGTTCGAACTCAACTCCACTAACTACAGTTGCGGAAACCCTCCTACTTAAAGTATAACTTTAAGTTATGTACTCGGCAAATGATTTAGAGTAGGAAATCACAATCTAATTTTTCAAATATATAGATTCTAGCCTACAAACATCCATCATTCCCTACTGGACAAGAATTTAAATTGTGTTAAGAATCATTTGAGAAATCAACTGATCAACAGTATGATCGATGAAAATCACAGTCGTTCTTCTAAAAAAAATTATTTATTTATTTGAACACATATCGGTACAAAGGGGTACCGAATACATATGCGCTACACAAGTCAGTTGATTTGTGTGTGGTGCCCAGACCGAAGCAGGTAGTTTACTTAGGAAGCCACGGCTGAAACCTTCGATTTGAAGGTGTAATCCAAAAGACAGTGGAACAACGTTAGAGGATGCACTCCCATGGTAGCCGGTGACCAACATTAGGTTCATATGCCATTTGTTTCCTTGAGATCCTGAAGCCCATGAGTACCATTGGTTTGGAATCAGGGTATTCCAACTCCCCTAGGTGTGCCCTCCATATCCACCAACCCGGTTGAATAGTCGGACATTCGCTTCTCATCCTCTCAATTTCATAAAACACGATATCATAGTAGCACGGCTGTTTAAAGGTTAAATGGTAAGTAATCGGTAATTTGTCAAATCTTAGCAAAATATATCCTCTTCTCTTTGTGATAAATTAAACCGACAAAATTTCTAATCTCGCTAGAAAGTTGATAAACAGAGATAAGTGAATATATACCCGACTATTAAGTAACTAATGATTAGAAAAGAATGTAGCGATCTCTTCATAAAAATCTGTTTACATTAATTGAATTGACATTCATTTTATTTATTATATACCATAGTCTTATTATATTGACTGTGTGTTTATTACAATGATGTAAACAATTCAATGAAACTTTCAGTGGCATATGATAAAATGAATCTGAACAATACAATAATTAGGTTGATGAATTATTGAATAATTCAATACAAATCAACAAACTCATGTAGTCTAACTTTCAGTTATACACTTTGTATATTTTGAAGGGACTTTGTGATATTATCTTGTTATCTGAAACAATCTTAAATGAATCAAGTTTTAAAGGTGAATTGACTGAGGCTTAGTGATTAGAGGAAGGTTGATTATGAATACAGTGGTCTTGAGTGCTGTTAGAGGTATGAGGGCGGTTTTCACTTCCCGGTCGCCCACACCGTGGAAGGGTTATTCTGGAGGTACCTGGAAAGGAATTTGGATTAAAGGTGGTCTTAGTGACCTGAGAGCGTGACCGCAGTGCCCAGGGGACAACTGCTTGAGGTCGGTCACACACGACCTTGTTATGGGTAATTTTTGTGTTAGCTCCGTACTTATTGAGACCTTACCGCCGGAGACGGATATCCGTGGGATAAGGCGAGGTGTGCATTTTTAGGGTCGACCTTTTCTAACCCCTTCCCTCCTTGTGGGAAGGCAGCATCGCTGTCATGCTGGTTGTCTGAAGGAAACACCTTACTGCTGTCACACCTCTGTACAGTCAGCAGTACGACTTCGCCTTCGGACCTTGGGTTTGTTGCTTTTAGTCTTACCGCTCTTCAACCGACCTGTCTGACATGGTAGGACCTTGAGGAACGGTTGTTCCAGCCAGTATAGCTCGGTTGCTTCATCACGATAGGCAAGCCCGACCACCACGTCAAGGTAGCAACAACGGTCGGGCTTAGTGATTAAGTTATTTTGATTTCTAACCAGTAGATTGTAAGTTTAAATTAGAATCTATCTAGTATCGTCGGTCCTTAAACAAAGTATGAATCAAACCTTAGTACATAATTTTGTATGCGCTAGATGAATTAAAATAATTAAGAATTTGTAAAAGAATAATAAAAGATCCAAAGATGTTTATCAATAAGCTAATGATTCTATGATGTAGGTAATTTAGTGATGATTCACTGGTACGATGATTATTTTGACTACTGAGATTTATTTTATTAATTTTATCTTGTTGTCACAATACGATATGACAACTTAGATTAATGTACATTTATACCAAGCTCTTGGTTAATGATGATTGACTGAAACGGTAGGGTAGATGTTATTCATTGGAAGATTTCATCAGTTATGGTTTAAACAGTTGGATTGTTACATTGACTTTTGGTTGTTTGTTACCAACGACTGTGCTGTCAGTATTTACAGATTTATCTTGATTATTTTTCTCACAATGACTTAACAACAATAAATCTTAGGAGTAGAAGAGTATTAATTCTTATAAAGACACATAACACATTGATAAGTAATGCTGAGCAGAGACGATAATTCAATTGGTGTCAATACCTTGAAACATCGACTTCGGTGGCTTGGACACGTTCTACGAATGTCGTCCCAGAGAATTCCACGTCGTGCATTATTTGCCGACTCTGGGACTGGTTAGAGAAAGCGGAGAAGTGGTCAGTGTATGAAATGGTGTTGTGGCATGAAAGAAAGCTGCAAAGAACTGGCTTCTGTTGGTCCTTCACGACTCCCTGGCTGGAGTCCTAGAGATGGTGCAATACAGTGGCTAGAGACGTTATCAGATATGGCTCAGAATAGAAGCCAGTGGCGATCCTGCTGTAACCTTCTTTTACTTTCTTCGTAAAAAGTGGTTCTAACTTCCCTAACTAAAGGGGTTCCTTCTGGTTGTACCTTTCCGTTTCCCCCATTACTATCACTATTACTACACTTCTATACACTGATCTGTGGTCGTTATTGTTCTTCTTTTTTTTATACGCATCTCACCTTCTTTTTTCTCTTCCCATTCTCGTTGTTTTCTGTGGTGCGTATAAATTTGATGCCCCCTTGTACCAATATTTATGTGCTCAAATAAATAATTAATTTATCTCTGATCTAAAATATCCCATAAACGACAATCGAGTGTCAGTATCATTTATCAGTTAAAGTAAAATACAAAAAGTGAGTATTATTTAAAAATTGACGCTATTTCTGAACTATATCGATTCACCAGTTTACTTACATAATAAAAATGTCAAACAGTGTTAGTAAATACACCGACTATTCAAGACGGTAAAACTATGACCTGAGAGATTTTTTTACATTCTATACATGAAAAGTATGATACCTTGAATTGATATTACAGAAACACGAGTACTATGTGTCACAGTCGTAGGAAAACGGGCCCCCAAATGCCCTGGTACGACCGAGAGTGGGGAAAGTCCGTTCTCCATCTCGAAATGTTCTCACATGGCCATGCGTATATAACCTCTGTCAGAGAAGTCCTACTCGTTGCCTTCTCGTGGTGGGGATGTTTCTTACGAAATTGAGAGGATAAAAAGAGAATGTCTGGCACTTCAACCGGGTTGGTGGATATGCAGAGTCCACCTAGGGGAGTTGGAATACCCTGATTCCAAACCAATGGTGCACATGGGCTACAGGATTCTAAGTAAATAAATGGCATATGAACCTAATGTTGGTCACCAGCAAACATAGGACTGCATCTCGTTACGTTACTCCACTGCCTTGTGCATCAGACCCTAAGGTCAAAGGCTCCAGGCGTGGTCCCCTGAGAAAATCACCTGCTTCGGTTTGGGCACCTGGGCAGCATCACAGCCATAAGACAAATCAAATGAGATTTGTGTGGCGCATATGTATTTGGTGCCCCTTTGTACCGCCCCCTGAATGCCCTGGTACGGCCGAGAGTGGGGAGAGTCCGCTCTCCCTCTCGAAATACTCTCACACGGCCACGCGTATACAGCCTCTGCCAGGGAAGTCCTACTCATTGCCTTCTCGTGGCGGGTGTCTTGTTTACGAAAATGAGAGGACGAAAAGCGAATGTCCGGCGCTTTAACCGGATTCCAAATCAATGGTGCACATGGGCTCCAGTATCCTGCGGGAACGAATGGCGTATGAACCAATCGTTGGTCACCGGCTACCATGGGACTACATCTCCTTACGATGCTCCACTGCCTTGTGGGTTAGACCTTTAGGTCAAAGGCTCGGGGGGTGGCCCCCTAAGAAAACCACCTGCTTCGGTTTGGGCACCCGGGCAGTATCACAGCCCACACACAAACGATGAACCCCTTTGTACCAATATTTATGTGTTCAAATGAATAAATAAATAAATAAATAAACGGAGTTTAAAATCCAACACAGTGTGTCGTCTAAACAGAATGAGGGATATAGATATAGTCATTTCACACCATAGAATAATATAACTGATTACACTAGAATATAATCAGAAATATAGTTGTCAGATTTAAGTGATAGAAAATAGATTTGCATGACATTTTGAAAGTTTAAAAGCACTGGAAATAGATTAATAAAAGGCTGTAATATGTTTTACGACATTAAGGCAACCAATCATGTTGTGTTTTTAAAAAAAAAAGATTCGAACTAATAGATCTGCAAGCTGAAAACAACCTGGATAGATGCTTAAAAACCATAGCAGATTGATTAAATTCTGTTAGTGATTGACTGAAATGATCTGGGAACTTTTTTTCACATAAAATATTTGATTTTTAGACTAATTTGCATATATGTGTATACAGAATCAATATTACGAGCAAAATAATTGTATATTACAATGAACTATACTGAGCAGCAGTTCGCTCTGTTCTACTTTACGGCTGCGAAACGCGGCCATTAAGAGTAGAAGATACTCGTTACTAGTATTTGACCACAGATACCTTAGAAATATTGCTGGCATCTGCTGGGACCACCGGGTAAGTAATAGTTAGGTTTGACACAAGGTTTTGAGGAATGATGACAAATCAGTCGATGAGGTTGTGAATCTTCATAGACTGAGATGGTTGGGAAACGTGTTACGTATGCCTGAACACCGATTAACGTGCAATGCTGACTAGTGTTGCGGATAGTTGGAAGAAAGTTAGGGGCAGCCAAACCAAAACGTGGCATCAGTCGTTGAAGTAACTAACTTCTGGTTTGAGCCATGTTGGTAGATGCAGACTACTTGGTTGGGGTTCGCGTGACCATCATAACCAATGGTTGGACTCTGGGTGACACGACTCAAAATCGACCACAATGATGTAGGTGTGAACACGCTGTCTTCCTTTAAATTATAAGATTAAAATTATTTCATATCTTTCTACGAACTAATTCTTTCTTTCTGTATTATATCCTTAAATGAAATCTTTCCTTTATATATTGCACTATTGAGTTAACTGCTTCTATGAATCCGGTGTTCATCTTGCTGTGCTAATGAGGTATGACAACTTGGACTGATGTCTGGTCCTACGTTGTAACTGACTGACGATGAACTAATGGAAAACAAGTGGCACTTATATAATTGACAAAGTATCGTAGTTAATGTTGAAAATAGTCTAACCAAATGTTAATTTAATTTGAAAATGGTCTATGGAAATATTATAATTAAAGACATTTATACGTGTATTCTACGCAACATAATATCTGTGTTTATGAGGTCACTTAAGACGTCAGATTTTATAGATTCTTCAAGGTTTGCTTTCAACAACAATGAGGGAGTATCCAGAAAATAAATGTAAACAAACATTAACTTACTTCAATAAACTGGTGACAGTATAGTGTTTGTTTATCTTTGCACATGTTACGAAATGCTGTAATCAGGATAGGAAATTCATTGCATTGAATTAAATCTTTATAATGTAATCTGACCAATGATAGACATACACGAAAGAGTACTTTATCCCCTTCATAGAATAAACAGTCGAAAACACGAATTGTTGTCTATGGTGTATAAAGAATAGCAGAAACGAAAATAACTTTTTGGTATACCAAAGAAGATTAACTGAGTATTGAATTCAACATGAAGCAATGTTAAATATGGGTTTTATTAAGCATGTCTACACTCATCAGTAAGATGAGAATGTCTGAGGCATTTAAGGTCACGGATGATCTAACGGTTACATCCAAAAACCTAGCATCAAATTAAATGAAGTCAATTAGCTTGGTCACCATATATCAAATTTGGTCCATAGAATTTAGTCAGCATCAAGTACATGGGATATTATTACCAAGCGACCGATCAGTATACTATAAAAGTGTCTTGACCAAGTTAGGTGAAGCAGAATAGAAATACCAGGCTATTAAGCTAATCACTTTACAACACATGTTTCCAAATCTGAATTGTTTCGATGAAGAAACTGGTAAACAGTACCGTTTTTACAATGCTACTTAGATTCACCTCTCTAGTTAACCGACAAGTATTAGCTGAATAGCTCAAAATGAAGTCATTAACATTAACATTTAAGGTTTGGAATAGTACTTAAACTGCTTATAATATCAGAGAAAGACATACTTTTTGGAAATACGAGTTTTAATGGCATGTCAGATAGTCATCATCATAGAGCTAGAGATAGTTGCCATAATATATTAGCATGACGATGTAAAATTAACAGGATGAATATGATAGTGGATCGAAATAATGTAATACTAATGACAGTGGGAAAAATTAAGAATGTATTTCAAAAAGACTATATAAAGGTATGTATAAAAGGAATACTAAAATACAAGATCAAGAGGACAAAGGGCAAAACGCATGTGCCATTTCCGACGATTTTGAGTCGTGCCTTCAGAGTCTCCAACAACTGACCGTGGTTATCACGCGAGCCGCAACCAATCAACCAATTTACTACCTTTTTCTAGTATCCTATGCCTAACTTCAACACTGTTCACTCAGTTGTTCCAAAAAACGCAAGGATTGCTTTGAACAAACCCACGGTGTATGAGAGCGATGAAAGGCGTATACTTGTTGTGAAAATGCTGACTATGTAAGCCATTACCATCAATTAAGATATACAAGGGTTAACAACAAAATCAAGGAATCTTTATCAACGACTAACAGTTAAAACCAGGAGCAAGTGGACAGCCATTTTATTTTGTGGTCCAGGAGTCCTTAGTAATGAATACAGCTAATCAGTTGCAAACTACCGTCCAGTTATGTAGCTTATATCATAGACTGACGAACTTCATTCAGTAACCAAAGAAAACAAGAAAGCGATGGATAGTTGTTTTGTCTTACTATGGGACTCCTCGGAAGTTAGCATTCATGATTCCACCAAGGTTCAAACGCGGAACCATTCGGTCTCATGACGAGTGCATAGCGTTGAAACCACTACGACGATGCCCAATGGTTTACAAAGGTTTAAACTCAGCTGTATACTTCGAATCGACAGTCTCCTCACGCAACTAAAGTGTGGCTCAAAACTAAGTATAGGAATCTGTATTTAGCATGTACGTCAGTAAATCAACCATTCAACAGGCCCAAGTTTAAGTGCTTGATTTTGAGCCATATTGTGCAAGGATTAGTAATATTACCCAGGCTACTGAAATAGAGTGACGCTTAAAAACCAGAGATTTCTTAATCGAAAAGCAAGTGTTTTAATAATTAATCCGCTAATCGGAAATCTGATTAAAAGAGTTAGAAAATCCTATTTTGAAATTAAAAAAAGGTTTATTCACTGATCAATAAATTTAGATTGTTGTTTAGTTTGTACCACTTTGTATCGAAAGTCATACGAATTTCGAACGGTATTTTGAAGTGTAGCATGAGTTAATCCATAGATACATTTATTGAACTAAAATTGAGCGTGACAATGATGGGAGAAATGAAATAAGGCAAAAACTGTACATTAAATGGTCGCTCATAAACATGAATACCACCCAAGGATATATATATATATATATATATATATATATATATATAATTCAAAAGGATGTGTTAGAATGTTAGACACAGGCATAAAGATTAACGAAACTAGCTTTCTGTCAGTTTGACGGATCCGAATACAACTAATTTGTCGAGATTGTTCTTAGAGACTATTTCAGTTTATAGCTGATTTCCATCACGAGCGAATTTCAGATTTTATTTAAATTTAAATTAACTCATTCTCTAGGTACTGGTGTATGAGCCACATCCTAAGTATGAGAGCTAATGATAATACCCAGCTGCCCAAACCGAAGTAGATGGAGTGGGCCTCGAACGTAAGACTTAGTGGCTGAAAGTCGAACGCTTTAACCACTAAGCCACCGCTCTACATGATCAAACAGAGGACGACTGGAAGTTAGGGATCGATGGGTAGATTTTTCATTTTCGTACCGGACTCGAGAATGATCATCAATGATCTAGCCAGAAATCGAGCCACTTGTCATGAGAACTGAAAACCTTAGGTTAGATCTTTGATAATAACCACTGTTGAGGATCCTTTTTTATTTCAGCTTAATGAATCAGACAGTATTGCTAATTCTGATATAAAACAAGTTGAATACAAGAACCAGTAAATGATTTGTGAGTTGTAATTTTACTGTTGGGATATGTTTAAACTCAGAGTAAAACATATAGACCGGTTACTAAGTGAAAATCAGTGTTGTTTTGTTCAATTTCCAGTCTCCAATGGAGTTAAAGAACAAATAAGTTAATATAACTGCTAAACAACGTCTTAGTAGACTTTATTATTTGTTTTTGATTATCAGATATATAATGGATATGAACCTCTTGTTTACTGTGCTTCCCCAAAATGATAATGGACAATAAAGTATACCTGTGACCTTAAAAAAACACTAAAGTTGTACTTTGTCGAAATATATGCATCTAGTACACAATATCTATTTATTATTTAGGAAATAAACACTAAACGACTATAAACGTATATAGAATTTAGGTTCACATCTTCAAACACAATGATCAATGTAATTATACCTATTCCATTTGCTTTTTTCCCAAAAGGCTGAACAATAATATTTCTATAGAAATTTCAAATTATGCTTTCTATAATTTTTTACGGTTCAATAAAAACACCTTACAAACTAAAAAGACGGTGCTACTAATGAAACAGCATTTGATGTAATGATGGTCGATAACATTTGATTTGCACTATGAAGGACCTAAAACATGACATTGATCACCACCCAGTGATCAATCAATTGTTAAAATCAAGAGAGGATGGCAGGTTCCAATCACTTTGAGATTTGATCAACAAAATTATTTGATAATCTGGGGATATTCAATTACTATTAGTTTCAATTGAAAAGTGATATACAATATAGGTATATTTATATAATCATAAGTAGAATAAATAATCTTGTGAACAATAGACCAGAAAACATGTTTAATAACACTCAATGATAAATAAATATTACTACATTACCTCAATTGGCAATACATCAGCAAATAAGCATATAAACCATTTTGTTGCAAGTAATGTACAAGTGATACCTGAATTCATGATTATTTTATGAACTGTGGGAATTTTATCTCTACATAAAGAAAAGAATGTATACATAAAAGAAAGCTATAAAAAATTTATGATTAACCAATCATGTATTAATAGTAAATATAAAGAGTTGTTTAACAATTGGAATCTAACATATACACATTACAGAGAACATATTAGCGCCCCCAAATGTCCTGGTACGGCCGAGAGTGGGGAGAGTCAACTCTCCCTATCGAAACGCTCTAACATGGCAATGTGCATACAACCACTGACAAGGAAGTCCTACTCAATGCCTTCTCGCGGCCACGCTATTGTTTACGAAATTGAAATGACGAAAAGTGAATGTCCGGCGCTTTAACCGGGTTGGTGGACACGGAGGATCCACCTAGGGGGCTTGGAAAACCCTCGTTCCAAACCAATGGTGCACATGAGCTCCTGGATCCTCAGGTAAAAATGGCGTGTGAACCAATTGTTGTTCACCGGATACCATAGGACTGCATCTCCATACGTTGCTCTATTGTCTTGTGGATTAGACCTTTAGGTCTAGGGCTTCGGGTGTGGCCCCCTAAGAAAACCATCTGTCTCAGTGTGGGCACTCGGGCAATATCCCAGCCCTCGCACAAATAGAATGATCTACGTGGCGCATATCTATTTGGTGCCTCATTGTACCAATGTTTATGTGTTTAAATAAATAAATACAGAACATTTTAGCCAGTGACATGATATCAAAAGCAGTCATGATAATGGAATTCACAAATCTTTAGTCATAATAGTTAAGGTACTTAATACATATACTAAAACTATCCTGCCTAATGTAGCGAAGAGAGAGACAGTCTTAGATGAATTCATACAACAAAAGCCAAGCTTTCTTAGAATGGAGTAATGTTTACAGTATCGGGTCATTTCGAATGAATGCACTGAACTAAATAAATAATAACACATCAAACTAATGCAGATTTATAAATAGGGTTTTAGAGGACAATCTAAAAATGGGCAAGCTAATGAAACTACCTAACTTTTTTATACACTGTGGTTAGAGAAATTGAACTGGATCTTATTACTTCACGAATAACAAATCAAGGGCTTGGATTATTAAGTATTTTTTGTGTTACAGATTAAAGTAAATTGAAGTAGTAAACGGGAAAATGTATGAGTTGATCTATACCAATAATTGATACCACTGTTTACTGACTGATTTAAAACAATTATTAAGCGATTTCTTACTTCCCATTGGTTCTTACCATAACTACTGGTGTGACAAGCGAAATTGATCTTTGAATAATTAAAACTAATATATAACATATACTAGTCTATAATCGTTTTAATGTTATCATTGTATTTATGACAGTAGAGCATTCAGTGTCCAATGGATCTACAGATAGAAACTCTACCAAACATTTATGAAACATGACCTCTTCGAGTTAATTTTGCTTCATAACTTCGTATTTTTAACCAACATAATGGAATTATTAGTTTATTAACTTTTGTTTTATTCCTTCCAATACTGCATTTCGATACCCTAATGAAGTGAAACAGTAACACAGCTCATTTTAATTCACATATATTAGTTGTTTGAATCTTGTGACTGATGTTTAGGATTGCGATTGATCTGTCTATTATTAGCATATGTATATCCTGTGCGGATTATATCGATATTGTCAGTAAGTCATAAACATTTTAAGCAGTGATGTTCACTCCATCGATCTCTGCTTAAAATGTTTGTGACCTACTGACAATATTGAGACGATCGGCACAGGATGTACAGACGCCAATAATAGACAGATCAATCAGAAGGTCCAAACAACTAATATATGAATTAAAATTTACCACATTTCACATGCCAGTAGCTATCTGGACTCAGCAACTAATAAGTGGATAACGCGATATGCTTTTAGGCTAAGTATACAGGGCTCGAGTCCCAGGGTGAGGATCAATGCTGTGATGCAGGTACATCCGGCTAACAGGTAGCAAATAGAATGAGACCTCAGTGCTGGGGTTCCATTGTTAGCCACCATCCATCTCTGCTTAGTAATACGGTTAACTTTATTGTTTTACCTACTAGAGGATAGTATCTAAAAAATGCATTTCTCGAAATAATACTTCTTATCAGATGTTTATGACTCATTAATTACAGTAATCAATAGTCATGTTTACCTTGACTGTTTTGTTTCATTCAGAATGTACAAAAACGCATAAAATTTGGTTTTACAGACAGGTTTTTATTAACATATCTTTTTCGTGTCAAGATGATAGGCCAGGATGAGACAGTATTTCAAAGGCTTTCGAATGGACGTGAATTCTTGGCATTGAGAAAATCATTTCTATACAACTGCCCACAAGACAATTAACTAAGTAGGGCATAATTCGCTTTGTTTTTTCTTTCATAGCAATCAGTTAACCGCCCAATACTAATAGTTTGATAAGGATTTTCTAGACCATCACATTTCTGATAACTTCGCCAGATGCATGTCGAAAAAGAGGAAAAATTCAAGGAACTGACCAACACAATTCTTTTTACTTACTTCAACAACTGATTGAATACCATACAGTCAACACGTACAGCTAACATATCAGAAGAATAGTATTTTGGTAAAATGTGATTAATCAATGCATCCAACAACCAAAACGCTTTTACTTCTCTCTCATTTGGTGGACAATCAAGAACGAGTAGGAGTACAGCTGCTATATAATTCATACCCTATTTTAAAAAAGAAATACAAATGGAAGAGAGAAAGTGAAGAAGTAGAAGCAAATGAAAATGACATAGTCTTCAAATTATATTTATAATTTCATTTAATGTGGCATCCGTTGTATTACAAAATACCATAGTCTACTTATGATTAATACATGACTCTATGACTCGGAGACAATTTTAAATACATAATACATTCCTAGTTTGTAGAAACTTAAATATATCACTGGTGACTGGTTAGATTTTAAAGGCACGTTAAACCTTAGATTTACAAGTGAAAACAAGAATAGGGTAATAAATCGGGATATATGTGTACGTGTATCAAAAGAGAAACCGTTCATTGCTGTAGAAAGATTTCAAATACACATAGACTTCTAGAAAAAGGAACTAAACGAGAAAACGATAATTCCTAGAATTAATTAAAAACTAATTTATATGTATCTGCAGTTTAAATCTACCAGTAGTTTAGAAAGGGATCTTAAGAAAGTAGTGTCTGTTATAATTAAAAGCAATTTGGACATTATACTGCTTTGTTTGTTTGTTTATACAATAATTCAAATTGAGTTACAAACCTACAAACATCCAGCCAACATATAACGACCGACTACCTCGACGTGCTATGCTCAGTGGTATAGGAGTAGGTTGGAAGAAAGCTAGAGGCGGCCAAACCAAAAAATGGCACAAGTCCATGAAGTCACTGACAAGTGGACTGAGTCATGGTGGTAGGTGTAGACTACCTGGTTGGGGACCACGAGATGATAGCAACCGATGGTTAGAGACCCTGAATGACATGGCTCAAAATCGTTTGCAATGGCGCAGGTGCATCCACTCTTTGTGATCTCTCAAATTCTAATCTTCTGAATTCTTCATGTCCCTTTTTTCCTCTTTTCAAATTTATTTCACTGGATTATACTCCTTGAATAACATCTCCAAACCCTAATCTTCCCGATTACTGCTTATACTCTTATTACCTCTACCACTACGGGATTTGAATCGACAACTGCATCTCTGTGCTAATGTGGTGTGGCAACTCGAACTGATGTACGTACGTAAGAGGTTCTACGTTATTACTGACTGACTGCACTCAATAGAAAAGAAGGCCTCACTATCCATTCGACTGGGAATATCTATCCAAGCTACCATGTCTGATATTATTCACATTTCACACTATTATTATTTATTTTATTTATTTGAACACATAAATATTGGTACAAGAGAGCGCCAATATATATGCGCCACACAAAACAATGGGAATTCGAAGAGAAGTAGAAAGAAAAAAAAAACTAAGGAACGCAAAAGAAAAAGAGAGTAATGACGAAGAGGTACAATCAGAAGAAATCTTTCAGGTAAGGAGACACAACCACTTTTTATGAAGAAAGTAAAAGAAGGTTACAGCAGGATCGCCACTGGCTTCTATTCTGAGCCATATCTGATAACGTCTCTAGCCACTGTGTAGCACCATCTCTCGGACCCCACCAGGGAGTCGTGAAGGACCAACACAAGCCAGTCCTTTGCAGCTTTCTTTCATGCCACGACACCATGTCATGCACTGACCACCTCTCCGCTTCTTCCAACCAGTCCCAGAGTCGGCAAATAATGCACGACGTGGAATTCTCTGGGACGACATTCGGAGAACATGTCCAAGCCACCGAAGTCGGTGTTTCAAGATGGTGACACCAATTGAGTTATCATCTCTGTGCCCGAACACACGATGCCGAACCTCTGCATTACTGACATGGTGTTGCCACTGAATGTCAGCAATCCTTCGGAGACAGCGATGATCGAACACAGAGAGTCGTCTAACGTCCTCAACTCGGAGAGGCCAGGTTTCACAAGCATAGAGCAAAACTGCTCTCACCGACGCGTTGTAGATCCGGCCTTTTACAGCCAGACTAACATCACGAAGGCGCCAAAGGTGGCCCAGATTGGCATAAGCCGCTCTGGCTTTCACTATTCGTGCATTGATCTCATCACTCACACCCCCACCAGCACTTATGCAGCTACCCAGATACACGAACTTCTCGACTACGTCTATCTGCTCACCATCCAGGGTGAGTACAGGATTAGAATCCTGCCAGTCTTGTAGAAGTACTTTGCACTTCGAAGGTGCAAAGCACATACCATACCTACGGACACTGATTGCCAACTGATTAAGTGCGGATTGCATGCCTTGGGCATTATCGCACAGTAAGACAATATCGTCCGCATACTCAAGGTCGAGAAGTCTTTCTCCAGGCAACAGATCCACACCACCATTACTTACATTCATCAGAGCTGTTTCCAGAATGTCATCGATGGCAAAGTTGAAGAGGAATGGTGAGATTGGGCAACCCTGCCTAACCCCACTGCTCGAATGGAACAATGGAGAGAGGTGGTTGTATGCCCTCACTCTGCCTGAGGTGTTTTTATACAGGGCTTTTAGGATGTTAATAAACTTCTCAGGCACACCCTTCTTCAATAGACAATCCCAGAGAACAGTCCTATCCAACGAATCGAAGGCAGCCCTGATGTCAAGAAACACTACGATTGTTGGCCTTTGAAAAGTATGGCGGTGTTCTAACATTTGGCGGAGGGTGAAGATATGATCAATACATCCTCGACCAGAACGAAACCCAGCCTGCTCCTCGCGAGTCAATCTTTCTCGGGTTTTGAACAACCTACGAAGAATGACGGAAGCCAATAGCTTGGACGCAATCGGAAGTAAACTTATCCCCCGATAGTTGTTACAGGAACGACGTGAACCCTTTTTAAAGATAGGGACAACTATCGACTCATTCCATGACGTTGGTACACTCTCTAGTTCCCAAACCTTTGTAAACAACGTCGTCAATTCCTTAGTCAAAAAGTCACCACCATCTTTAAAAAGAGCCGGAGGTAAGTCATCTGGGCCAGGTGATTTGTAACGCTTCAAGAGTTGGAGTTCCTTGCGGACTTCCTCCTCATTTGGTGGATCAGTCGTCACCGGCCATGGAGGGCAGGACAGTCTGACCGATGTTGCCGGAGCAGCAGGCCAGTTGAACTGCCCTTCGAAAAATTCTGCCCATCGTCCAAGACGTCGATGGATGTTAGTGATTGGCATCCCATCATCCTCGCAGATTGTTTCACTCACACCAGACTTCTTGCTGCCAGTGGCTCGGATGAGTTGGAAGAGCTTCCGGTAGTTACCAGATGCAGCTGCTGCTTCCAGCTCATTAGCACGCATCGACCACCAGGCTTCTCGGTCCTTACGCAAGTAGGGCATAATTCGCTTTGTTTTTTCTTTCATAGCAATCAGTTAACCGCCCAATACTAATAGTTTGATAAGGATTTTCTAGACCATCACATTTCTGATAACTTCGCCAGATGCATGTCGAAAAAGAGGAAAAATTCAAGGAACTGACCAACACAATTCTTTTTACTTACTTCAACAACTGATTGAATACCATACAGTCAACACGTACAGCTAACATATCAGAAGAATAGTATTTTGGTAAAATGTGATTAATCAATGCATCCAACAACCAAAACGCTTTTACTTCTCTCTCATTTGGTGGACAATCAAGAACGAGTAGGAGTACAGCTGCTATATAATTCATACCCTATTTTAAAAAAGAAATACAAATGGAAGAGAGAAAGTGAAGAAGTAGAAGCAAATGAAAATGACATAGTCTTCAAATTATATTTATAATTTCATTTAATGTGGCATCCGTTGTATTACAAAATACCATAGTCTACTTATGATTAATACATGACTCTATGACTCGGAGACAATTTTAAATACATAATACATTCCTAGTTTGTAGAAACTTAAATATATCACTGGTGACTGGTTAGATTTTAAAGGCACGTTAAACCTTAGATTTACAAGTGAAAACAAGAATAGGGTAATAAATCGGGATATATGTGTACGTGTATCAAAAGAGAAACCGTTCATTGCTGTAGAAAGATTTCAAATACACATAGACTTCTAGAAAAAAGGAACTAAACGAGAAAACGATAATTCCTAGAATTATCAGTATAGGGGTTGTGGAGATTGTTAAGTTTTTGGTTGAGATCATGAATTAATTGATGTTAGACCACCGTTGGAAACCTGGAAGCACTGGACGGCCGTTTCGTCCTAGTATGGGGCTCCTCAGCAGTGCGCATCCACGATCCCGCACCCCGCGGGATTCGAATCCAGGACCTACTGGCATCGCGCCTGAGCACTTAACCATTAGACCACTGAGCCGGGATCCAATGGTGTTAGTGTCTAACATCAACCAATCCACGAAATTGCGCGACCAACTTCCATTGTACTGAGGTAGATACCTGTCTCTACCCGACACGGATTAGCTCCACTGGTCACGACTTCTCACTAGAACTCCGAGAATTCCCTCACGAAGCTAGTCACTAGTGAGCACATGTTAATTATCAGTATAGGGGTTGTGGAGATTGTTAAGTTTTTGGTTGAGATCATGAATCAATTGATGTTAGACCACCGTTGGAAACCTGGAAGCACTAATTTATATGTATCTGCAGTTTAAATCTACCAGTAGTTTAGAAAGGGATCTTAAGAAAGTAGTGTCTGTTATAATTAAAAGCAATTTGGACATTATACTGCTTTGTTTGTTTGTTTATACAATAATTCAAATTGAGTTACAAACCTACAAACATCCAGCCAACATATAACGACCGACTACCTCGACGTGCTATGCTCAGTGGTATAGGAGTAGGTTGGAAGAAAGCTAGAGGCGGCCAAACCAAAAAATGGCACAAGTCCATGAAGTCACTGACAAGTGGACTGAGTCATGGTGGTAGGTGTAGACTACCTGGTTGGGGACCACGAGATGATAGCAACCGATGGTTAGAGACCCTGAATGACATGGCTCAAAATCGTTTGCAATGGCGCAGGTGCATCCACTCTTTGTGATCTCTCAAATTCTAATCTTCTGAATTCTTCATGTCCCTTTTTTCCTCTTTTCAAATTTATTTCACTGGATTATACTCCTTGAATAACATCTCCAAACCCTAATCTTCCCGATTACTGCTTATACTCTTATTACCTCTACCACTACGGGATTTGAATCGACAACTGCATCTCTGTGCTAATGTGGTGTGGCAACTCGAACTGATGTACGTACGTAAGAGGTTCTACGTTATTACTGACTGACTGCACTCAATAGAAAAGAAGGCCTCACTATCCATTCGACTGGGAATATCTATCCAAGCTACCATGTCTGATATTATTCACATTTCACACTATTATCGGACATACAAATTAAACTCTATCCTTTCTTATCAAAAAGGTCACATCTTTTTCATCCCTGACCTTGCACACATGTCGCTTATAAATCACTTTGACCGGAATAGCATAACATCGACTTGTTCAGACCTGTCTTTTGATTGATCGCACATAATATTATTGCGTTGTTCCTTTGTACTATTTAAACGTGGATTAATTTTTATTTGGTTATTTATTCTCTGAAGAAGTGGCTTACACTAAGTCACAAAACGTCAGAAAATCTCATTTTTCTACCCATTGGTATATTACAAATATATTATTTTATTTATCTACATTCTATGTTTAAGTATATGGGAGTTCTCACATCAAACTGTTTCAGATCAACTCTATCTTTTCATTTTTCTATCGAAATTTATAAAACGGAATAATTGCTTTACATACTGTATTGCTTGTTTTCTTATGATGAAATTTCTGAAGTACTTCAATTAAATATAAGCTATTATATCCATTTGTAAACTAGTAAAGCAAAGTGAAATATATGTTGGCCGGATGTTTGTAGGTTTGTAACTCAATTTGAATTATTGTATAAACAAACAAACCAGTAATCATATCATATTTCCATTTTTGGCATCTTTATTTACCTAATCTACTAGAGATTGAGTTATGTATCAGACAAAGTTGAGTCAATTTATACAATTGCAAATTCTCTTATTATTTAGCGCTACCCAAAATACTCAACCACTCAATAGTTCACCATGAAAGGTCAAACACAGCAAAATCTACCTTAACCATAGGGAATTGTATGTGTATAGTCAGTCAGCTATAAACAAAGTAAAAACTACCAGAAATATTCATCAACAAAATTCTCCACAACACATGAATACAGTGAGATGAAATTAACAAGATCCAAGGCAAAGAAACGAAAGTGTGAAATTTATTTCGCTGTCATAATTGACCAATAAACTGTCTTGCTTGATTTGGGATTTTTATATGCGTACAAATATTACAGTCCATTGGATTAAACCCTGATCTAAATGAAAATAATTTTGGCTCCTAAATGGTAAGGCCGAGGGTGGGGAGAGTCAACTCTCTCTCTCGAAATGCTCTCATATGACAACGTGCCATCTCTACCTACTACCCTACGACTAACGTCAACATTTCTCACTCCGTTATTCTACGATACAAGGGTTAATATGTTAAAGTTTATGGTCAAATACTGGCAACTTATTCATGCCTTAAACATTCAAATACCAGAATGATACGTGGATGCGTGTGATACACACAATTTCAGTAAACTTTGATTGGCCGTAACAAATTAGAAGCTAGGTGAACACGAGATATGTTTTCGAAAAAGTAAAAGAACTTGGTAATAAAATATAGACAATTTTGTAACAAGATTTCATCTTTGTGTTTTTCTTCATCGAATTCAGTATTTAACAATCTTACCACATATGTCTAAAATTTTATGAAAAACATCTATCGTCAGCAGACTGAGTAGTGCATTAATTCGGATTATCAGTTATCTATTAATGACTAAATAACACGATTTCGTAAACTGATGCGTCGTTTCACTTTTAGACTGTTTACTAACACTGCAAATAATACCAATACATCCGAGAGTGATCATTAGTAGGATCATGAGGAATCTGGAAGTATTAATAAGTGTACGAAAAGTAAACTAATGAAATAGCTAATACAAATCGTTACAAGAAACGTACTTGGCAATAACCGATCTTTGGAAAATGAACTGCAAAGGCAGACAATACTCTTTTTAACGATACCAGCTTACTACTGGGGCCATCTGGATCTTGAAAATGTTTGTTTTCTGGAAAGGTACGGGGAACATCTGGAAAAAAGCGAGAAAATCGGATGTATGAAACGAAACATCTTGAGTTCAGAACCAGTTAATAAAGAACGAAACCAAGTATATTTCAACAAATTTTTTAATCCTTACAGTTTGTAAACCGATGTATTTACTTTATTTTCTCTTTAAATTTCGTAAAGTTACCCGACTTCAAATGTGACTTTTTCTTGTTATTTTGACTTTCTCAAACGAGTGGTGCCCACCACTGTTATTATTGTTTCCAGCTATTTTATTATTCCTTTTAAGTGTCCTCTTTTAATACTACGTTTAAGTGTTACAACCCAGACCGACAGATTTCTGTACTATATTCTTACAGATACCAATAAACTTCGTAGTCCAAATGATATAAAGTTTCTTAGATGTAAAACCCAATAACTGAATGTTGCAGTTCGCCTAAGTTAAACTGTAAAGGTTATTGTAAACGGTTACATGACTACGAGTTGTAAATTAAACAGCGGCTGGTTGCAACAAACAGAAATAAAGTAGCGATTCTCCCGAATAAAAAGGATTAAAACACAGTGATTGGCTACACTAGGTTATTCCAAAATAGCTTTAGAACTGACGAATCGAAAACTGTGTATGATAGATGATGTTGATATTCGCAACAGTATATTCGCCTCCATAAACACAGTTAATGCTTAAGGTACTAACAGTGTAGGGTTAACAAACACATTCATCGAGTCCAGTTTGTACAGAACAAAACCGAAAAAAACACTACTATAAACCTTGATTGTAATGTTGTGGTTGATATACAACTAAATTACTGAATGCAGAAATTACATAACGAAGCTCAAATATAAACAATTTCTGCATCAGTCTTGAGATATGGGCAGAAACATACCAGCCAAGATAACATTCCAAATATGTGTTGGGGGTACTTTGGAAACAGCTATTTGGTAGGCATCTGGATTAGCTTCCATTCGTTCATAAGCTCCAGAAAGATGCATCCAAACTGTTGGGCGAATGTGATCCGGTATTCCCTTCCGACAAAACCTTTTAACTAAAACAATGAGGTCAAATAACTCATGACATACATCTCGCACTCTTTTTGGGTGGAAGGGTAGAGAAATACTTTTCCCAACGAGAAACTCTTCTCTGAAGTACTGACTCATAAGTCTGAACAAAGTCGGAATATTCATCGTCCTCAACGTATTCTGGCGATTCAAAACCCCGGTCTGGAAATTTCCTATAGAGAAGAACATAATATCAACTAATGGTAAATACAAACTGCTCATCTACGGAACTCATGAAAACCAAGGTCATACATAAATTCGAAATAGTTTCGCACAGTTCAAATGGTTCAAATGGATCACAGTGACCTTGGTGAAAGCCAAAACATGAGAAATCTAAGAAAAGGGGCTGTTTTGACTTTTTCGTCTTTTTGAGGATGACGTGACCAACAAAAAATATAAAGTCTGCCGTTTTCATCTAACTAGGTGTATTAGTGACGTTTTTTAACCTTCCATGAATATATTGCATTCAAACTTGGTGATTTTGTAGTGACCTACTTTTATCAAGAGAATGGGATTGGTTTAATGGAAAAAATTGTTAATATAATCAGTTGTACCAGTGATTGTTTAACTGTTCTTGTTTTTTTAACTGTATAAAGACAAACATTCTCCTGTTGATTGTGACCTTGCACGAACTTACGTTTTCTCAGTGATTCCGCTTGTACTCCTTTGGAATGATCTCGGTGTTCCTTCGATATCACGAAATCGCCAACAAATATATCTCGCTACAACCTCCAATCGCCTTCTGATATCTGGTACGCAACCTTCTTGTAGTGATGATCATAGACAGCAACGACTCGACTCGTTACTACAATCTTACCAACGACTGGATTCAATTATTTCATTACGAACCATCCGTTTCATTTTACTCTACTCCATGATTATCGCTTGGTAAAATGAGGCCCAGATAGATATTAAAACGACCAACTCAGGAAAACTAGCAATAAAAATGTTTATTAGGTTAAGAAAATCCTTGTTATAAGTTTCTGTTTCAGTTTCTTTTCTTCTGAGTTAAGAAGAATGAACGAAGCAGCCAGATTCATTCGTCCAGACTTTTAGTAATGTGAAATCTTAGTGCAGTTTGTAGTTTACCTACAGAAAGTGGTAATACATAGTCTACGATAAAGAATTCCATGGTACAACTCATAAAAATATCAGTGCTTCAGTAAGAACTATTCGATTTAAATTTCAAATTTCTCAGAATGATGTCTTAACTGACTAGTTCTAAATGAAATGACAAAATAATAAATCACCTTCAAATTCTTCACACAACATACGATAAGTCAGGATTCAATCACTTTTGAGTCTATGGTATGGAATTGGAAGTAAGTCGAGGTCGCCAAGTCTATCTTAAAAAGCAGACTACATAGGCCGCTAACCCATTAAATCACCGGGTTTTTATTCGAGTATCAGCTTCATACCTGAAGCACGTACACGGTCCATGGATGCATGTGAATGGATTTTGATTGATTCGTGAAGACATTTGCAAACATTACACTCGATTTGGACATATCTATCAGTTGCCGTTTGAGATCAATGCTCATCTATCTACAACAGGTGGTTTGTGATGTTCACCCTCAACTCGATGTGGACGGTCATTGGGGCTTCTTACTGCACACGCTCCTATGTGCTACAAACCATTCAGTTCCTCAGACGGTTCCCAAAAGCTGCAAGCCACCTACAGTAATCAAGAACCGTACCCTTCGCCTGATAAGCCGCAAAAGGCACTGTTGGGTGTAATACAAACGAACTGATAACGACGGAGCGTATAGACAATATAAACATATCAGGAACATATGCACGAAGGCTATAAGAGAAGACAGGCTTCAGTACCAAACAAAGCTTATGGACAAATTCACCTCTAACCCTAGAAGCCTATTCCGTTATACAGCCTCTGTTCGTCAAGCCAAAACAGGAGTTTCTCAACTGCTAGGTCTTAACGGCTCGACCAACAACGATGACGAAGCCGCTAACCTTCTGGCGGCACATTACTCTCCAACATTCCAACCGGCTGACATTAACTTTACTGATGACAGTTTCATCTGCGATTCCACAGGACTTTCCGAAGTGAACCTAAGCGCTGACTTGGTGTTCCAGAAATTGCAGCACTTAAGACTAGATACTTCTCCTGACCCGGATATGGTTCATTCTGCCATACTGAGGGAGGCAGCCTCAATCCTGGCAACGCCGCTTAGCGTGATGTTTTCACACTCGCTTAGCCGAGACAAATTACCGGAAAATTGGAAGGAGGTCGACGCAATGAACCTTCAAGTTATCGGCCGGTGGCTGTTCTGTCATTACCTTCAAAACTCATGGAGTCCCTGATATGCGACGGTTTAAACGACTATCTACTGTCCTTAAATTTCTTCTCACCCCAACAGCATGGTTTCAGGAAGGGTTACTCCTGTATAACCAACCTGCTGACTGCGGTGGACAGATGGACAAGCATCCTCGATCGCAAGGGAAAGGTTGATATCATTTACCTAGATTTCTCAAAAGCTTTTGATAAGGTTAACCACTTGTGTCTTATCAATAAGCTCAAACGACTAGGTATCAAACCACCTCTAATCGATTGGCTTACTTCATACATAAAAAATCGACACTTTATGGTTAGGGTTAATTTCACTTTATCTCAAGCTATGGAATGTCCTAGTGGGGTCCCTCAGGGCTCAGTAATAGGGCCTCTTCTCTTCGTGATCTACATAAATGATCTTTCTCAACAGGTAACGTCAGACTTATTACTTTTTGCCGACGACGTGAAACTTTGGAGAGAGATACGCAACCAAGACGATATACAGGCACTTCAGGAGGATCTAACTCGACTTCAAAGTTGGGCAGATGACAACGGACCTACCTTTAACACTTCAAATTGTAAAGTAGTCTATCTGAGACATGTCGCAGACTACAGTTACAACTTAGGAAACTCCTCTCTAGTAATATCCCAAGTCGAAAAGACTTAGGAGTCCTGGTGCCCCATGATCTGAAGTCTTACGCTTACTGTGACAAAAATGCCTTCCGAGCAAACCTTGCACTGGTAACGTTGAAGCGCATTTTTGGACAGTTTGACGGACGAACTTTCCATACAATCTTCAATAGTTTCATCCGTCCCCATTTAGAGTACGGAAACATAGTACTCCCCCCCTCACTCCAAAAGGGCAAGGTCACTTTGGAGCGTATCCAACGGCGAGCCACGAAATCAGTTCGAAGACTCAAATCTAAACCTTACGAAGAACGCCTCCATTCACTAGACCTTTACCTATTAGAGTATAGGCGTCTTAGAGGTGATTTATTAATGGCTTATAGTATTCTTAACACTTCTGGACATCCTCTTAAACACCTACTTAAGCTTAGTTCGAATAATAACCTAGGGGTAACACCCAGAAACTGGAAACACAACATAGCAAGACGGAATGTAGACACAACTTCTACTCCTTAAGAGTTGTCAAAAGCTGGAATTCGCTGCCGGCCGAGCTAGTCCAAGCGACTTCTCAGGAGTCCTTCAAGAGGCAACTTGACCTATTCTTAAGGACTAAGGATAGTATCGCACTATGATTTACTAATTTCTTTTCCTGTTGTAGCGGTAAATAAATCCCCAAAATAAATAGCACTAAGTTTTCGGCATTGGATGCTGACCATATGTTTTAGTGGACTCATCTAGCTGAAGGCGCTCGGTCAGGCATCTACACCAGATCACGTGTGGTAACGCCGTGCTCAACATCAACCGCAATCGCTAGCCAGATTAGATCAGAGAATTCAGATATATTGGTCATCGCCAAATATACTCTTCCAATCTCCTCGACTCTGTCTTTTGATTTCTCTGGGCGGGAACGAAATATATTAGAAGGTGTTACTGGTAGAAGCGTTGTCAAACACTGAATACCTGTGGCATCATCATTGGTGAAACCGACGTGATCTGGTACACCTAATTGCAACTGTGAGTCTGTTCCTTTTTGGGATTTTTATATATCATTGCCTTATTTTTTTTATTTTTTTAAAACATTGTGAATTTTTTTTTCGTGTTTTTTCCTGGATATATATATTTTCCCCTCGTTCATTATCGTACTTCATACTTCATCATGACTGAACAGACACCTAAAGTACTCAAGCTTAAGACTTTGTCCCCGCCTTCGTTTCAACTGATGCCTTTCTGGCCCGACAACATCGAAGCCTGGTTTTGCTACGCTGAAGCCGACTTCTCCGAGCACGGCGTGATCGACACACGTGCACAATTCCTCTCAGTAGTCAAGGCACTACCGCGCGAATTCAACAGGTACGTAACACCTAGTATGTTTACTAGTGATGTTTCCGATCCTTACGAAATCTTAAAACGCTCGATTCTTAAACGAGGAGACCTAACCGATCGACAAAGGTTAGATCAACTCTTCAACAATATCGACCTGCAACATGGTTCTGCAACGGACATGTTGCAACGGATGAGAGAGGTAATAGGCCCAAGAACTTTCGACGAAGGCCTATTCAAACAACTCTTCTTGTCAAAACTTCCCCAACAGGTGCAAGCAGTTCTGGTCTCGTTCCAGAACAATGCCTTAGACGAGCTAGCTGCATCTGCCGACCGCATTTTAGAAATTACGAAATCTACTACCGAGGTATTTTCAGTCAAAGAAAAACCTCAAACGACTCAGAATGATATAAACGACTTATGTCACACACTCACGCGTTATCTTAGTCTTCGTAACGACCGTAAGAGATCGCGCACACCACGTAGAAGCATTTCTCGTAAGCGATCTGTCTCTAGACCACGAGAGACAGATAACCCCGACTGGTGCTGGTATCATAACCAGTATGGAAAGCTTTCCAGAAATTGCAGAAAACCCTGCAATTTTCCCAACACGAAACCGACTGATTCGAAAAGCAATTTGGGAAACTTCCAAGCCGGCACGCGTTAACGGCAACCGTAGCCGGCGAACATAGCCGTCTGTTATACGTCACGGATGTGACAACGAGAGTTCGCTACCTCGTCGACACTGGCGCAGAAGTTAGCGTTCTCCCAGCAAATCCTAACGACCGACTACACGAATCGACCCTAAACTTACAGGCGGCAAACGGAAAACCGATCGCTACGTATGGCAAAAGGTACGTTTACCTTAACGTGGGTTTACGCAAACCCATCCACTGGATTTTCGTTGTTGCAGATGTTTCTATGCCAATCATTGGTATGGATCTGTAGAATTATGATCTACTATGATATTAGTACTGCTCTAATAATAGACCTAATCCTAAATTTGTAGATTCGTCATGATATAACTGCCTAATCTTTAAGATCTTACGTGGAAGTCACACCATCGACTACGCCAACTCACTGTATCGTATCAATTACCAATACATGATGAAGAACCAGCTTAGTTTAGAGAAGGAACAATATATTTAATATGAATAGAGACCACGCCTGCATGGCCGAGCCATGCCACTCGATCAACTCCAGTCAATTCAATTCATTCTTCGCGCCTTCTCC